ATGGAGTCAGAACGGTTGCTGAAATGGATGACTGAGAACCAGCAGGCAGAGCAACAGCAACAGCTCCTGCAGCAAATGGCCGCCCAGCAACAGCAACTGGTTCAGGACTTAGCGGCCCAGAAACAGGAACAGCAGCAAAGGTTAGTTCAACAAGTTGTGGCATTAATGAAGCCCCAAGGGTCCCCCGGAACTTCTCCATTGGGGGGCCTGGGACCAAGCCCAGGAACCCCACCAGTACCCATGAAGCTCACAAAGATGGGCCCTGAGGATGACCCCGAGGCTTTTCTGATGACATTTGAGCAGGTGGCGATGGCTGCCCAACGGCCCTCTGACCAGCACAGGCCGTAAACCAAGGACTGGATGCAGAGACCACCCAGGACTACCCTCAGGTCAGAGCGGCCATCTTGGACTACCTCAACATTACTGAGGAGACCTTCTGCCAGAGGTTCCGCGGAGAGAGGTACCCTCCAGGGGCTCAACCCCGGGTTGTCACCCAGAAACTGCAAGATCTATGTTGGAGGTGACTAAAGCCAGAAGGGCGGCCTGGAGTAGAGGTGGCCAAACTCATCCTGGTGGAGAAGTTTGACCAAATCCTCCCAAACGGGGGCAGGGCCTGGGTGTTCAGACATCAACCAGAGTCACTTACCTATGCTGTGTGACTGATGGAAAACTATCTGGCAGCTGAGACAGCTCTAACTCCTGCATCTGAGCCGTTGCTTGACGCCAGAGATACCCCTCGACAGAAGGGGGAAGCCAACCAGGGAAGACAGAAGCTACACAGAGTGCCCCAGCCTATCAGGGCCCTCAAGCCCGGGGCTGGGAACCCGGGAAAAACCCCAGGCCCCCCAACCTCAGCCCGAACATAAAGCCTGGGGTCCCCAAGGGACTTCCCCACCCAAAAGCCAGGAAGGGTGGGGGGCCAAGAATCTGGGGGAAGACATCCCCAGAGGCCCAGTTCCCAACCAGCAGTCCTGGGGCTAAATATGGGGGCCTGTTTCTCCTGTGGGCATCAGGGATACCATTATCAGGAATGCCCCTATATGGAGTGCAACTCTGGGCAAGTATGGATGGCAGAGAGCCGTGCCTGGAAGCGCACCCCAGCAAAGGTAACAGTTCCTGTACAAATAAATGGGACCGAGGTAGTAGGTCTAGGCCTAAACTCTGCGTGTGGGCAAACTCTGGTCCGGGATGACATGGTCCCCTACCCTGAAGCCCCCAGGGAGACCATCTCCCTGCAGTGCATTTATGGGGATTTATGGGTGCCCTGGGTAGAGGTCACCACAGGGGACACCACTAAGCCCCCCTCATAGTAGGGCTAGCCCTATCCCTAGCCTACCACATTATCTTAGGTCAGGATTGGGAACACTTCTCCGACATATTGAGGGAATGTAGAACTGCTCCCAGGAACCCGGAGGAAGCGCCTGAGGGAACCAGGGTAGGAAGGGAACCCCGGCCTGTGACACTGGCTGGAGTAGATTAGGAGCGGGACCTAGAGAAAGTGCTGCCGGAAGATCCTCCTAATGAGGAGACATTACAAACCCCACTCTAGGAAGGGGACTTACTGACCCAAGAGACTGATTTCGTGAAGGACCAGAGGGAAGATGAGACCTTGAGCCATGCATATGAACAACTTCCAGTGGTTAAAAGTGAGGTCGTAGATCCCCACCGGGTTGCGCAATACCCTCAAAGACCATTGGACGGGAAAAATTTGGTCACAACTCCTCATCCCTTGGTCGCATCGATGAGAAGTCATGCGACTGGCCCATACCATCTCCTCTGCAGGCCACCTTGGACAGGAGAAAACTTTGGCCCAGATCTTCTGACTTGGCGTACATCAAGAAGTTAAAAACTTCTGCAACTCCTGCCCTGAATGCCAGCTAGTTGGGCCAAAAGGTGGGGGGAAAGCCCCTCTTATCCCTCTCCCAGTCATCAATGTCCCCTTCAAATGCATTGGTATAGACCTTGTTGGTCCCCTGGAAAAAAGTGCCGCCGGATACAAACATCTATTGTTGATAGTCGATTATGCTACTCGCTATCCTGATGCAATCCCACTACATAACACCAATGCAAAGACTATTGCCATGGAACTACTGAAAGTCTTTGCTCAAGTAGGCGTTCCCAAGGAGATTCTCACCGACCAAGACACAAACTTCATGTTCCGCTTGATGAAAAAAGTCTGTGTCAATTTATCACCTGCAACTGGATGGCCTGGTTGAACACTTCAACTGAACTCTGAAGCAGATGCTAAAAATCTTTATGTCAGAAAACCTGCGTCATTGGGATCAACTGATCCCCCCTCCTGTTTGCCATTCAGGAAGTCCCACAAATCCCCTTGGCAGTCAGGAGTTACAGCCGTGACCACTAGGCCATGCTCCCCAAGAGGACCATTATAGTCATTGATAAAGATATTGAATAGCATTGGGCCAAGAAGAGATTCTTAGGGAACTCCACTAGAAATGCCAGCACAGAATGGTGATTCTCCATTTATAATTACTTTCTGAGGTCTACCAGTCAGCCAGTACTTAACCCATCTAGTGTGCTTTCTTCATTTTGTGTATTGCTAATTTTTTAAATCAGAATATGGAGTAGTACAAAGTCACTTCCCTTACAGAAATCTAAATATGTCAATAGAACTGCCTTTGCCAATGAAACTTGTAATCTCATAAAAAAATCAAGTTTGTTTGACACAATTTAATTTCCATCAAACCATGTGGACTGGCATTAATTACACTGCCATCCTTTAAATCTTTAGTGACTGCATCTTCTATCAGCTTTTCCATTATTTGACCCAGCATCAATGTCTAGCTAAGTGGCCTATAGTTACCTAGGCCATCCTCTTTACACCTCTTGAATACTAATCCTCTTGAACTTTCCCAGCATTCCAAGGATTTGTTGTCCAGTTCTGGTGTCCTCACTTAAAAAAAAATAGAGGCTGACAAATTTAACTGGGGTCAGAAAATACTACAAGAATGAGTAGAGGTCTGGAAAACTGCCTTAGGCCTGGTCTACACTACAGGGTTAGAGCGAATTTAACCGCGTTAGGTCGACCTAAAGGGCTCTTAAAATCGACTGTTGTACTCCTCCCTGGCGAGGGGAGTAGCACTAAAATTGACTTTGCTGGGTCGAATTTGGGGTAGTGCGGATGCAAATCGACGGTATTGGCCTCCGGGAGCTATCTCAGAGTGCTCCATTGCTGGAGAGCACTTTGAACTCTGATGCACTAGCCAGGTACACAGGAAAAGCCCCCAGAATCGTAGAGCATAGAATGTTTCTATGCTCCCCCTATCATCTCTGTCCCTGAGGTTATCGCAGATTAGAAGGCGAAAAAAACGCACTAGTGATGACATGTTTTCTGAGCTCATGCAGTCCTCCCACACTGATAGGGCACAGCTGAATGCATGGAGGCATTCAGTGGCAGAGGACAGCAAAGAATTAAGTGAGTGCGAAGAGCGGAGGCAGGATGCAATGCTGAGGCTAATGGGGGAGCAAACGGACATGATCAAGCATCTGTTGGAGCTGCAGGAAAGTCAACAAAAGCACAGACCCCCGCTGCATCCACTGTATAACCGCCTCCCCTCCTCCCCATGTTCTATAGCCTCCACACCCATATGCCCAAGAACGCGGTGGGGATGAGGCTCTGGGCACCCAGCCACTCCACTACAGAGGATGGCCCAAGCAACAGAAGGCTGTCATTCAGTTTGATTTTTAATGTGGCTACAATAAGCAATGTGGTCTTGTCCTTCCCTTCTCCCCCACCCGGGCTACCTTGTCCGTTATCTCATATTTTTTTTAATTAATAAAGAAAGAATGCGTGGTTTCAAAACAATGGTTACTTTATTTCGAAGGGGGGAGGGTGGTTGGCTTACAGGGAATTAAAATCAACAAAGGGGGCGGGTTTGCATCAAAGAGAAACACACACAACTGTCACACTGAAGCCTGGCCAGTCATGAAACTGGTTTTCAAAGCTTTTCTGATGCGCAATGTGCCTTGCTGTGCTCTTCTAATAGCCCTGGTGTCTGGCGCGAAACAATTGTCTGCTGTTGCTTTCACGGAGGGAGGGACGACTGACGACATGTACCCAAAACCACCCACGACAATGTTTTTGTCCCATCAGGCATTGGGAGCTTAACCCAGAATTCCAATGGGCAGCGGAGACTGCGGGAACTGTGGGATAGCTACCCACAGTGCACCGTTCCATAAGTCAATGCTAGCCATGGTAGTGAGGACACACTCCGACGACTTAATGCGCTTAGTGTGGACATACGCAATCAACTACATAAAATTGATTTCTAAAAATTGACTTCTATCAAATCAACCTAATTTCGTAGTGTAGACATACCCTTACTGTTAGATATTACAGAAGCTCAGGGAATTTAGTTTATCCAAGAAAAGATTAAGAGGTGACTTGATCACAGCCTATAAATATCCTCATGGAAAGAAGGGCTGTAATCTAGCAGACAAAAGCATAACAAGATCCAACAGCTGGAAGCTCAATCTAGACAAATTCAGGCTAAAAAGAAGACATACATTTTTACTAGTAATGATAATTAACCATTGGAACAATATATCTACAGATGACATGGATTCTTCATCACCTGAAGTTTTAAAACTGGGACAGGACTGGGTGTCTCATAGCACAGGCCAGAGAATTTCACCAAGAGATTCCTGCATATCTTTGAGAAAATCTGCTCTAGGCTCACTCACCCAGAAGTTATGAGCTGGATGCAGGAATCACTTGGTGAAACTCTGGTCTGTGCCATGCAGATGATCAGCCTAGATGTACACAAAGGTTCAAACCATACTTGGTTTTTCCAACTGAAAGGAAAAACTGAAGCTGAAATCAAATATGCACACAGCGGAAACAAAGAAATATTCAGTTTCCTGCTAAGTATGTATGAAATTACACTCTGAGGAAACAACAATGCAATCTGAAATAGAAAACGTAAAATTATGTAAAAACACCAAGAGGAAGTGCTGTATTGTTGTGATTCAGAGCTTACCTCTTCCCAGCATGTTAGCTCTTTGTCCTGTAGGCCAATTGTCCACATATCATTTAACCTAGATTATATGAAAACAATATCAAATTTAAGTTTCTTTAGGTTGGTTATTTTTAGTTTGTGAAGTTGTAATGAACAAAGACATTAGTCAGCAGTGACAACATTCTAAACCTCAGAAGCATTCCCCGTTCTCAAATGCAGCAGGAATTCCTTAGCCTAGAGACTGTTGCTTTAGCCAGTGCCACAAAAGCTACTAATAGACTCAAGATTTTAGCACCTTTCAGGATCATCACATGTAAACCCAGAACAGTATTACAGCACCAGTCTTGTTGCTTTTGTGCTACAATGAACAACTTCATAACAGCTTTGCTCAGAGCTTGAGGGTTTGGGCTGCTAACCTGTGAGATTTTAACTGAAATCCTCCTTTTTACTGTTCTGCTCTCTCCTTCCTTTCCATCCCCCACTGGCAACTCCAGACCCTGACCACAGGGATTAGTGATGTGGCCAAACCCTACCTAAAGAACATTTTAGATGAAGAACCCACTACCCCATCACTCTATTGGCATGCCCAAATCTGACTATGCTGCTCTCAATACCAGTAAGCCCCAGCCTCTCAGGAATGTTCCCTTCCCTGATGTTTGTCAGCCTAAGGACTCATGTTCCTCAGTGAGATGCTAATAACATGGTCACATTAAGCTGTTAGAGAGCCCTCATTCCTGGTTCTGCCCAGCCAATCTTCTTGCAGCCATCCTCGAGACTCCTGGGAATAGGTCTCCTACCTAGGAACTGAGTAACTCCTCAAAATGATCTGTTCTTCTCATCACCTCACCCAGAAAAAAGGCTCCCATTAGAGTTAAGAAAATCCAGAGACGCCTCCAGAGACACCTCCTCCTTTACCTGACTCATCTCCCAGTGACTCTGACTCAGTACCTCACTCCAGGTTTTCATATAAGTTATATATATATATATATAAAAATAAGTTCATCAGTAAGGTAAATAAAGGCTGGAGATACGGACGGGGAAAACCCGAGGGTTCTGACTCCTCCGCTAAAGCTCTCACTAAGAAAAATCAGAACAACAGGGTACTTACTTTGCCAATCCTCAATTCCTTAGAAGAGACAGTGGCTACTGAATGGCTTAGTGGCAATGAAAAAAAATCTGTGCTTATTCTGAGCTGTACCAAATCATTAAGGAAAAGCATAGTACCTTTGGTTGGGTCCCTAAGGGTATGTCTACACTGCAGTTAAACATTTGTGGCTGGCCTGTGCAGACATTCGGGCTCGGGCTGGAGCCGTTCCCTCCTTGGGGGGGGACCCGGAGCTTGGGCAAGCCCAAGTGAGCTAACATGGGCAAGCCATAGGGGTTTAACTGCTATGTCTACACTGCAATGTAAGCCCAGGATTATGGGATTCAAGTCAGATGACGCTAGGTTGCAGAATCCAGGGCTTGAACATCTACACTGATTGTTAACTCTACGTTAAGAATTTTCAAACCTGAGCTCAAGCCTAGGGTTCTGGGGTCCACACTACAGCATGCAGACTCGAGTCAAACCAACCATATCCCAGACTTAAAATCACAGAATCATAGAAGATTCCTAGTGCCCTCCCAAAATCTGGCTGCTCTAGCCTTTGACCTTGGTGCACTGTGGGAAAACTTGACTGCCCACCCTGCACATTACAGGAAGTTTGAACAGCTGGTCAACACATCCTGATGAGGTGTCAGTGTGCTCCCAACTGCCGGAGCCAGCAACATGGAGGATGCACCTTCAGAAGAAATTCTCTTGCTTGCACTTTCATCCCTATGTCAGGAAATGGGCAGCGCTTCCATGAGACACTGGAGGACATTTCGATGGTATTTAGTGACCCACCAGAGGCACCAGACAGAGCTTATGTTGGAGCAGCAGGAGGATGCAGACATGGCATGATGTTGCTCATGACACTAATTACAGCCACTGATAACCCCTATGTAAATCAGCACTTCTGAAGCAGAGCTATATGCACAGACTACTGAGATTACATTGTCATGCAGACCTGGGATGAGCAGCAGCAAGTCTCTTTTTTTTTTTTTTGCACAAAGAAAGCTACATTTCTGGAGCTTTGTGAGCAGCTTGCCCCAACCCTCCAGCATAAAGATACACACATGACGGCAGTCATCTCAGTCCAGAAGCAGGTTGCTATAACTATCTGGAAGTTGGCTACCCCAGACTGCTACAGGTCCGTTGCCAACCAGTTTTGGTGTTGGAAAGTTAACTGTGGGTAAAGTGGTTGCAGAGGTTTCTGAGGCAATCAGATATGTGGTTTACCCCATGGTGGCAGGCATAAAAGATATTCCTGAAGTAACTGCTGGCTTTGAGAGAATGGGGTTTCCAAACTGCACCTGGGCCACTGATGGACTCATGTACTCACAGTTTGCTCTCCTCAAGGAGCACATAAACCATAAACTTTAATACTCTATAGTTATGCAAGCCCCCGTGGAACACAGATTTATGAATGTCAATGTAGGTTGCACTGGGAAAGTTCATGATGACAGGTTTTTTTTGCCAATCGGAGGTCTACATTCATGGACAGGCTGGGACACTATTCCCACCAAATGACATTGTCATAAATGGAGTTACTGTTCCCACAGTTATTCTGGGGGCCCCTGCATACCCTCCTTTGCTTTGGCTTATGAAACTGTATCCAGATTTAAGAGATTCTGGCAAAAGACAGTTTAATTACACTCTTAGCGGGTGTAGAATGGTTGTTTTTGGCAGACTGAAATCCCATCAGAGACGTTTACAGACCCATTTGGATGCCACATCACTGTGGCTTGTTGAAGGTATAGGTGAGTCATTTCCCCCTGAGTGGACTTATGACACCAAGTGATCACTGAATTGCTACACTCAGCCAGAAAGTGCACTCACCACAGCTAGAGCTGGATGCACCTGGGCAACAGAAGTCCAGGATGCTTTGTGCTCTCACTTTATGGAGGTGCATGGGCCAATGTTAGAGGGGAAATAGTACCTTTATGAATATTCCTGTGGGGGGTAGGGATGGGGCTCATTGATTTGGGGAGAGGGGTTCAGAGCTTGGGGAGGTGTAAGGGGTTGATTGCCATGCAATGTATTTATGCATTACATAACCACTTGTGAAATGGTGGAAGGGGGATTCACAGTATGGATTGGTGTAAGGAAGTGATCACAGAATCATAGAATATCAGGGTTGAAGGGACCTCAGGAGGTCATCTAGTCCAATCCCCTGCTCAAAGCAGGACCAATCCCCAACTAAATCATCTCAGCCAGGGCTTTGTCAAGCCTGACCTTAAAATCCTCTAAGGATTGAGATTCCACCACCTCCCTAGGTAACCCATTCTAGTGCTTCACCACCCTCCTAATGAAAAAGTTTTTCCTAATTATCCAACCTAAACCTCCCCCACTGCAACTTGAGACCATTACTCCTTCTTCTGTCATCTGCTACCACTGAGAACAGTCTAGATCCATCCTCTTTGGAACCCTTTTCAGGTAGCTGAAAGCAGCTATCAAATCCCTCCTCATTCTTCTCTTCTGCAGACTAAATAATCCCAGTTCCCTCAGCCTCTCCTCATAAGTCATGTGCTCCAGCCCCCTAATCATTTTTGTTGCCCTCCAATGGACACTTTCCAATTTTTCCACATCCTTCTTGTAGTGTGGGGCCCAAAACTGGACAGTACTCCAGATGAGGCCTCACCAATGCCAAATAGAGGGGAATGATCACATCCCTCAATTGATTGAAGTATGGATTGATGTAGATAACTGTATGGAGGAATTGGGTTTGTATACTAATTCCTAATTATCCCTGATCATGTGTTTACCCCTATTATTTTAAATACACATTGTATGATGTGATGCAGTGACAGCAATAAACTTTCTTGATGACAGAAATTTTTTTATTTATAAACATATATTAGAAAAATACAACATTCACCCATTGCCAGGCAGGCCAGCTGCCATTACCACACCAAAGCACCAGTAAATCAGAACCTTAAAGGAAAAAACAAAAACAAAAAAATAAGTGCATGAACAAGTGGAAACAATGAAACCATGTACAAGACAGAAACTCCTTACCGTTGCATGTCCCTTGACTCCCCATTCTCCTTTCCCCCAATAACCACGCACTTGGCCCAGGGGGAAGAAGGTGGAGGCAACCACGTGAGAGGCAGTTCCAAGCTGTTTCTGGGCTGCATCACAGGATACCGTGCAGGGGACTCGGGCCATGGTATGGGTGATGCAGCAGGAGCCTCTACTCTTGTGGCTATTAGTGATTTTAGCCTCTCAAACAGCTCTTCCTGCTGAGCTCTGTCTGCCTCCCTTAGCTACTGTTCCTTTTCCAGGAACTGCAAAGCAAGTCCCTGCTTCCACGCTGAAAATCTATCCTCAAGCTGTGTAGCCAGCATGAGCCTTTCCCATTGCCTCTTGTCATGCCTTTCCTCTAGCCGTAAGTCCCTCTGTCTTTGGTACTGGACCTGCTTGTTGGCCCTGTCCAGAACTTCAACCATAAGTTCATCACAGAATCGCTTCCTCTTGGAACGGTCTGTGAAGGCACATTAGCCCAAGCTTCTGCCAGTGTGGGAAAACTGGGGAGGTACGGCAACCAGTAGAGGTTGGCAAACAGCCAACATACAGAGCTCCACAGCCATCCTCCTTATTCTCCATTTCTGGACAAAATTTCAAACCCTACGCAAATCTGGCACAAATGATCTTGTCACCTATGGACTACATGCACCACTATTAACTGAAATGGACTAGATATGTAAATGGAACACATTTTGACCTTCCACCTCCCCACCCTCCCAGTTCACTGTTTCCAGGTGGCTCATTACACCATTGGATGGTTACAGAATGTTGTACTTACAGGCATGGCAATGTATTATTTTAAGCAAAAATCTGTGCCTTCTCAAATAAAAGTTCACTTTCAAGGTGTTTTTAATGTTTGCATTTCCTGGTCACCAATTTGAATTCCATGTGGTGCGCGGGGGGGGGGGGG